AAATCTAGATATGTTTTTATGGAGATTATGTCAAATTTACTTTTATTGAAAGTCAATTATGGTATATATCCTGTTGTAATTATTATGCAATATACAATGATATGAAAATAAAATACTACTATTTAATTTTTTAAAGAAAAAAAAAGTAATTCTAAAATGTTTTCTCTCATAAAGTTTTAAAAATTCAGTGAATAAATATTAATCTTATTTTTTAATTATGAAATATAATAACACATTTATTTAATTTTTAATTGAAAGAATAGCATATATTAGCCCAACTACTAATTGTAGAAGTTGTGTGACCCAAATGACATTATTTAAAAGTTCAAGCCAATTGAGGGAGCTTTTTTCTTCCGAATGTGGGAGCATTTTGGGTGGCCGTTGGTGGGGATTTTCTTTTCTTTTCTTTTCTTTTTCCTCTGTTGGGCGAGGTAAGTATATATGGTCTTAATTTCTTGGCTTTCGTTGGCGTTGAACGAGCTTAGGAGATTGGGTTTGGTTGATTTGGTTCGCGAGTTGGATTGGACGCTGGTGCTAGCGAGTTTGCAAAGGAATTTCTCTCAGATGGTAGCGAACGGTGAGTGGTGGCGAGAGAGGTGCTGGACAGTGGGTGTGGTTGCCAGAGACATGCTGTTGGAGCAGTTACCTAGCTTTGTCTCTGATTACCTTGGAGGTGACAGTGGTTGGGACTGGGAATTAGATGACAGAGTTTAGAGAAGAGGGACGCCACCTGGCGTTGCTTGGGCAGGTATATCAATTTTCATAAAGAGGTACACATCAATTTCAAATATTTTGTTTTTATATTATTTCATCATTATTTAAAAAAATTTAATCCCTTAAGTGGGCTTGTCCTCTCTTAATCGTAAGGTGTTTATCTTACATTATCTTTATATATATATAATAAATGATATATATGAAATTTTATGTAATTTTAAATTAACCAATTTTAAAATTGTAAAGTATCTTAATTTTATACTATTTTACTACTGTTCATTAAAAAATATTCAAAATTTGACTAAATTCTTAATTTCAATTTTGAACTTAATAAAAATTTCTTATTTTTTTTATAGTAACTTTTCAATATCTAATAATTACATTGAATCTCGATTAATATGAAATCGAAGCACATGGGATTCTATTAAGGTAGAAACTCTATCAGTACTTGTTTCTTCATTTATAAGATTTGAACTTGAGATCTTATTTAAGGAAAATCAAATTTCTTTCACTATAACCAACATATCATTGCTAAAGTTTCTTATTTGTTTCTTATCAAATGAGTTGATCTTGATTTTGAACCTAATTAGTTTATTGAGTTAAGACTCAACTCTTTGAAATTCCATTAAACTCAATTAAACTCAAATTTAAATTAAGAACTCTAATATTCAACTTAAATTTTATCATCATACTTTAAAGTTATTGTTGAAGGCAGAATACCCAAATCCACTTTTAAAATATAGAGGTAGAAACGGATTCACTCCGAACAAAAAATAAGGATAAATTCACTCATAAAATTTTTGACTTTGACAAATTATCTTAAATTTAATATGTGATGTTATCGGACAACAATAATTCGTTAATAATAAACGTATTAGTGATATAATAAATTAATGAATTACTAACATCAAATAATATTACAAATTAAATTTTGGATAATTTGTTCAAGTAAAAAATTTTATGAATAAATTTCTCTTCATTTTTTGTTCGGAGATGGATATGTCCTTATCATTTTATTTTGAGAGTAAATTTGGGTATTTTGCCATTGTTAAGATGTGTTTGTCTCATTGAAGAAGCAAGGACGTGAAATAAAATCCCACCTGCCTTTTTGGTAAATAGAGACTACAATGAAGTATACAAGTGCTTACAACATAACTTAAGCACAATACAATACAAAAAGGAAAAAGAAAAAAAAAAAAAGAAGAAGAAGAAAACCGAATACAGGAGGTGGAGCACGGGCTTCAGTGTTTTGCCACTCACCAAAGATTTTGTTAGTCTAATTATGATAGCTACATTGTATTTTTACACAACAATCAAAATGCATTGAACAGCGCATTCACAGAGAAGCAAATACGTCGGCGGATCACCGGCTTCCCAAATTCATAGAGGAACGCACATCCTTGAGGAACTACCACATAGAGTATTATTTCGTGGATTATGCCTAAGATCATTAGACTACTTCAGTGAGCATTCACGCCCTTTTGTTAAAATATATTATATTGAATGCGCAATAATATTCCCTTTGCTAACCTTGACCGCAACTAACCAAATATAGCCTAGGCGCGGTATAGCAAATTCATAATTTTTTTTTTCTTCTCTTTGTTTTAAAGTTGAGAGTGTTTTTGCACTAGTAGCGATAGCGGTAATGGTAGGGTACATTTAAATTATGTATATCATTACCATTTTTAAATTTTTATGATGTAATTTTTTTCTTAATTTCTCAATGTTCAAAAAGAGAAAAAAGTTGAGGAGAAGTCCCAAGTAGAGCAAATGGTTGCTCCTTACATGGGCCTTCCACTAAATTTGGGTTTAAGTCTTTTTCTTCTTCAAATACCTCTAATATCCTGTTAAAAAAATAA